ACATGGTGCTAAACTCGCCGCGCAGTTTCCACAACATCAGCCATTTTCAATCAGTTACAAACTCAGGTGTTTCTTGCCGAGTTGATGCCACTTTTCCAAACTTCATTTTCTTGACCCGCCATTTTTGACCAATCGGCCTGCCAGAATGCGCTCAAAGCATAGAAACTTCTTCAATTTACATGCAAATGATCGCTTCGATGCTACCAGGCAAACGGGCGGATGCCATCGCTGGCGGTGCCAGCTTGAATTGGCCATGACTACACCATGCGCAGCCTGTCTGCACGTTAACTTCTGGCCCCAGCAATCAGCGCAGCCGCCAGCCGGCTTGGGCATTGCGCCCGTTTGCTGTAGCATCCGACGAGATCATTCGCATTGTAATTGTCAGGAATTTCTGTGGATTTGAGCCCATTCTGGCTTAGGCCAATGTCAAAATGGTAGGTGTAACTTGTTCAGCAGTGCTTCCGCGTTCCAACGATAGTTGGAAAGTGGCGGTCACCTGCAGGAACCCGCAAGTTGTACACCGATTGAAACCGGTGAGTTGTGCGAAATACTGCCGCGAGTATGGGCACCATTTGTTGATTATAGGTCAAATGGCCGCGTGTGTGCTGTCGTGTGGGCTTGTTCTTGCTGTAGTGAATTGATGCTGCAGTGAGGCCGTAGTGATGCAAGTGAGATCCTTGGGCCAGGCCGTAGGGTCTATGTCTCCCTGACCTTTGTTTGACTGGCTCGTTTAGCTATTTCTGACTGCAATCCTAGACCATATGATAGTTACCAGCGGTTAGGATAGTCAGAAATAGCTAAACGAGCCAGGTCATGCAGACAGAGGTCAGGGAGACATAAACCTTATGTCTGCGCAAGTGAGACTGAGAGCGCCGAGACTGAGATCTTGATACTGAACTAGTGCCTACCTATTGATTGCCATCTTAGGGTTATAAAACGTGTTTGTTTTTGAAGGAAATGTATGTACATCATCCAATATTATACTAAGGCCATGTTCTACTACTGTGTGAGACTGAGAGTAACTTGCTGATTTCACGCTGTTGTTATTATTGGAGCAGCATGTTGATACAAACAAGTGTACAGCGAAGGTTTGCTCATCCAAAACACCCTTCGGTTTGGACTTTTTATCCTACACCTTCACCACTTTCAGCGTACTTCAAAAATTACCGCATGGGTTAGAGTGAGCGGTGAGGGTTAGGGTTAGGGTTAGGGTTAGGGTTAGGGTTAGGGATTGATCGGCACAGCGGCAATTTTTACGAAGTATTTTGAGTGGTGGTACCTAGCGGTAATTTTTAAAACTAAAAGTCCTTACCAAAACATTCAATGTGAGTAGGCGGCTGACTGATGTGTGAGAGTTATATCGTGTCAGTTACGACGTTTACGACAGTTACGACGTGTGTTCATATTAGATATCGTATATACACGTATGTATATATGATATCTATGTATATATACATACACACAAACAACATATGCAATATTTTCTGTTCTAATAGTAATAAGAATAAGACCGTCACCGAGGTCGTGTGCCCACTCAACAGCGGTCCCATACTCTACTCTCTAGTACTAGTAGAGTACGGTACTTTTCAGTTTTAAAGGGTCCTTTACTCTAGGTTCTTAGGCGTTATTTTCAGTTCAATTCAGGTTAAAATTACGCTACATAAAAAGTTTCATGCGTTCAATCGCACGATTCAGGAATTTTTTTTATGTTTTAAAAGCTACCGATCGAGCTAGCAGGTTGATGTACAACAGAGGGGTGAGCAGACGGGTCGCATTTGGCGCCAGCTCAAAAGGCGCGACGATAGGAAGAAAGTGTGCGCAAATGGCGTGTTAGCGAAGCCGGGTACAGAAGTAGGGCCTCAGACCGAGATGGTGTTGTTAGGTTGTATAATGTTAAAGAGCAAAAGGATCTGTAAATATCTTAGTAAACGACAGGGTAGTTTGCAGTATATTAGTGGATAGAATTATGTTCATAAAATGGAACATTTGTTCGATTAATAGCATTTCACGTATAAAATACTAATTGCACCTTTGTGATTAGGCCCGTCGGTCTGTACACGTGCAAAATATATTTGGGAAATGCGCAACTTTTTCAGGGGTGGCAGCACGGTCGCAGGGGTGTCATGGCACCATTCAAATTTGCGGGTAGCGTGACTTATTAATTAATCTATAACAATTAAAATTAGGTATCTGTTAACAAGTACGTCGTGGGTATAGAGAAATTATGTTATACAAAGTACCAGGTTGTATGCGCCAGTTAAAATCCTAGAAGTCTAGTAATCCCTTTAAGGCAAATTCACTTTAGTTAAGAGATGAAGGTGTCATACTCTTCAGCAAAATGTTTCTTATTAGGGTACAATACCTTTATTTTAGGCGGGGGTGGGCGGGCTTGCTAGCTGTAAGCGTAGAGAAGTAGGAGGAGTGGTGCGCAGCGTGTGTAAGAGAGATGTGTGCATCACGTAGTAAGTGCTAGTGGGGGTGATATGGAGAGTGACCAGTGGAGTTAATTAAGCAAATTAGGTTTATAATCTTAGTAAGTGGGATAAACGGCCGAGCTAAACAGCAGAATCACGAAAAACAAACGAAACAACAAGTTCCTAAAACCGGTAGTTTCAATCATTTAGAATCACAGAGTATGGGATGACGGCTGAACTGAAGTCGTTTAGATATTGGTCAGTTGTCCGGCTGAAGCTGCAACGAGTTGAAAGCAGAATTTGGATACGGTGAAAGAGACTCAGACTGCGACATAGGTTGATTCGAGATATGAAACATTTGACGTGTCTAAATTATTCATGCGAACGAAGGCTGGACAAAAAACTTCGGACACCGTGTAAGCTTTAGTCCGTGTTGAGCAAATTAAGGAATCAGAATTAACTGCTGTAGAATAAAATTTTGTTCAAAGAATATTTATGGTTAGAACGAGGTGGGACTTGATTAAGTGTGTAGAGATAAGGCATATGACGGTACAAGTGTCTAGAATGGTTTCAACTTGTCCGCCACACGCATTTGTCGATCACTCGTGGTTGTTGACTAGTGTTCATAGCATTAACATGCTTTAAAGTTATATACTAAAACTTAGTAACATCTAGACCTATATTTGTTGTTTTTGTGTGAGATGTTATGTAATTCTATTTAAATAATAGTATAATAAAAATAAATAAAAGGCAATATATTCATATAATGTCCGATAGGTGGCGCTGATGCCGTTTATTTTGAGATCTGGGGTTTTCTGGGGTTTTTTGGGCGTCGATCTGGGGTTTCCCCATTTTTCAGAGTGGTAACACTGTGTAGGATAAAATGTCCTTACCAAAACATTAGGCGGCTGACTGTGGTGTGAGAGTTAGATCGTGTGTTCATATTAGATATCGTATATACACGTATGTATATATGATATCTATGTATATATACATACACACAAACAACATATGCAATATTTTCTGTTCTAATAGGACCGAGGTCGTGGAGCTAGCCAGCTATGTCTAGCTTCTTGGCCGACATGACAACACTGTGACTGTCACTGTCAGTGTCAGTGTCAACAGCGGTCCCCTAGGCCCTAGTACTAGTAGAGTACGGTACTTTTCAGTTTTAAAGGGATCCTTTACTCTAGGTTCTAGGGTTATTTTCAGTTAATTCAGGTTAAAATTACGCTACATAAAAAGTTTCATGGTTCAATCACGATCAGAAATTTTTTTTTATGTTTTAAAACTACCGATCGACTACAGTTTGATTACAACAAGTTGAACAACGGTGGCGCCACTCAAAGCGCACGATAGGAAAAGTTGCGCAAAATGACTTTTTAGCGAAGGCCTACAGAGTAGGCCTACACTGGCTACAGACCGAAGGTGTTTCTTATTTATTAATTTAAAAGCAAAAGGATTATCTTATAAACGACATATAGTTTCAGTTATATTATGGATAAATTTGTCCTAAAATGAACATTGTTCGATTAAATAGCATTTAGGTATAAATATAATTGCACCTTTGTGATTAGCCCTCGGTCTGTAACGTGCAAAATATATTGGGAAATGCGCAACTTTTTCAGGGTGGCAGCACGGTCGCGGGTGTCAATGGCGCCATTCAGGCCTCGAATTAATCGACAAGAAGGGCAAGGCAATTTTTTGGGGGCATGTGAGAAATTGCCTTGAATTTTCTCTAAAATGTATGGGCACCAACGCAATTTTAAAAGGCATCAAAGCAACTCTCACAATTTGAGAAGGGCACCAAGGCACTTTTGTTTTTTACCGTGTATGTACAGACCGTCTCCCGCCCACATGTACATCGTCTTCCGCCCCCATGTAAGCTTACACCGTAACACCGACCCCTGTACCCCCCTCTGCTAATGGAAGTACAGTAACAAGGTTCAACATTAACTTTTTATTTCACTAGACCATCGGGCTAGTAATTAAGTAACTGAGGAAAACCA